AGATATGTATAAATCAGGCTGAGACTTTCAGTGTCTGTCCTGGAATGAATAGTATTTGAATTTTCAAATATATGACACATTTCTAAGAAAGTTCTTTTTTGAGTATTATTTTCTGAGTCTAAAATTTCAACATTCTCGAAGAAAAAAGCATGATCCAAATTTATGGTGTGATTGGAAAGGGTACATGACGGTTTATTACATCTTATGTCACTCTTGTGCGAAGTGATTCTGTCTTTTAATTCTCTACTCGTTTGTCCAATGTAAATCTTTTCACAACTGGAACATGGGATGGAATAAACCACATTGGATAAATTGATGATATCTTCTTTGTCTTTCGAATTGGAAAAAAGTGTCTTATTAGTCTTCAGATTTCTGAAAGCTAATTTCACATGTTCAAATTGACTAAAAATTTTTTTAAGATTGTATGAAAGGCTACCTAGATGAGGTAACGAGAAATAGAATGTCATTTGAGGGTAATTGTTATTGTTAGTAATATTGATATTATTATGCAAATAATAATTTTCATACAATAATACAGATAATAACAATTTGTATGAAAAAAAAGGGGTGCAAACCGCGGACACGTGTTTCTTGTCACCTGTTGTCACCTATGTTGATTAAAATATTATCAATCAAACTAGAAGATTTTTGTGTTATTCTAGTGTAAACTGAGATGGTTATTGGCAGTCCAAACGAACTTATAATATCAGTGAAATTGTCTGTAGCGTTAGAAATTTGTTTGAGATTTACATTGAAATCACCCAAAATTAGGATATTGTTTTACTTATGTGAAATGTAGGTAACTAATTTAGTAAAATTTTCAAAGAAGATGGATATATCCTCATATGATGGAGATCTATATACTACAACTATTGCAGTTTTGAGACAGGTTAACTGAATTGCACAAAATTCAGAATGCAGTTCCTCATTGAATTTTTCAATTTTGATAGGTTTCCATTCATACTTTGACTCAACAAAAATGCAGACGCCGCCATCCACTGAATTTGCGCCATCTACTGAATTTCTGCCATCCACTGAATTTCGCCTATAGAAGTAATGTGCAAGTTTCATATCATGAAGATTTATGCTTTTGAGAGCATCTTCTGTCAACCAGTGTTCACTAAGACATAAAGTATNAAATTTGATAAGATAGCTTTGTAATTCTCAAGAAACATTAGTAATTGATCTACTTCATTTGACAAGCTTTGAATATTCGGATGCAAAATTCCTACCATGCTTGATTCAGACAGTTCGTTAGACATTTCATCAAAGAATATATTCTGATTGGGGTTTATCTGTTCGGGACTGTGGGCGTTCTTTTTCCTTTCGTGTATCGTCACTTTGAAGGATGAATAAGTCTCCGGGAATTTGGAATTCCATGGTTCACAGACTACCTCTGGAAAGTATGGTTTCAAAAAAGCATTTAAAAACTCTGTTCTAGTACTCGTTTTGAGCCTAGTAACGTGCAAAGTCGAATATTTGGGAATTCCCTTCAAGGAACAGGAAGTTGAGTCAATTCTTGTGCCTACTGTATTGTATTGGGACTTGATACCAATACATTACAAGTGGCGACAAGAATTTTCAAGGGATTAGTGTGTGTAAATTTCAAATTTAAATTTCACGAACTGGAATCACGTCCGAAATTCAAAATAGCAGTGTCAGTGTCATCAGTAGCCGACTGGTCAATTTTCAAGAGGAGAATCGAAAATTATTTTGTGGCAAACAATATCAACGACGATAAACGTAAAGGTGCGATTCTCCTTAACGTGCTGAGTGAAGACGCTTATAAATTGATTCATAATTCATGCATGCCGGCTGAACCAGATACTAAAAAGTATTCAGAATTGATTCCTCTATTGGAGGAACATTTTAAACCAAGTTTATCAGTGTTTGCGGCACGGTACAAATTTTACCATTCGCAAAAACTAATCAGTGAATCGCCTAGAGAATGGTCAGCCCGGTTAAGAAATTTAGCGACATTGTGCGATTTCGAAAACGATCAGTTAGAATTAGTGCTGCGTGATAAATTCATTATGGGGTATGATAAAGGCCCAGTACAAGATCGCCTTTTTGAAGAAAAGAATACGGCAACATTTAAAAGTGTGACTGAAGTGGCTATAGCGAAAGCGACGGCGCATCCATCTTTAAATTCTGGAAATTTTGAACCTGTAATAAAGAAGGAATCAGATATTCATTATGCATAGGTCAAACTCAGAGAAGATAGGGGAAGGCAAAGACAAATAGCAGCGGGGATACAACCGTCATCTTCAGGACTAGTGCGCAACCGCATCGGGAACCAGAGAGGACACGCAGGAGAATTTCCTTCCAAAAGTAGCGTATGCGGAAGAAAAAATCACCGAGCAGATAAGTGTTCATTTCGAGATTGTTTTTGTCACTCATGTAATAAAAAAGGGCATTTAGCTCCAATGTGTCCCATGAAACGGAACAAAACAAATATTGCGAATGTTCTCACACAAAATTATTCAGAAAGAGATTCTCCATCTGATTTTTCACTTTATAATTCAGATTGTAAAATCAATCCAATTCAAATTGATTTAAAGATGAATGATATACCTTTTCCATCCAGTTTAGATACTGGTTCTAGCTTTACAGTAATTTCAGAAAAGTTTCATTATGAAAAATTGAGATATAAAGTTTTGTACCCAACAGAAAAAATGTTTAACTCATATAATGGAGATCTCGACCGCTTCCTTTTGCGATTAGAGAAAAGGTTGAAAAGGAGCTGGATAGATTACAACAATTAGGTGTTATAGAACCGATTGATTATAGCTCTTGGGGAACACCGATTGTATCCGTTTTAAAAAGAGATGGTTCAGTGAGGATATACTTAACTCTGTGATTGAAATAGATCAGTACCCTTTGCCGAGAATCGAAGAATTATTTGTGAAGTTACAGGGGAGTATGTGTGTAGTCGTTCAACAATAAACACCTATAATAAAACCACGAGTGATTTCAATTATGGGTATCAAGTCCCAATACATTACATACTATCGCAGACATCTTAGGTTTCGTACTGTTCATGTACTCTTTAATTTCTCGAGAAATACGGAAATTCGCATAATCCATCAAGTAGAATGAAAGCTCATTTTGATGGAGGAAAATTATAACTATTGTTTGATTTGCATAGTGTGTGGTAATTTGAGTTCAAATCCGCGTTGATGGGGTATTGATTCTGCTACGTTAGATGGCTAGAGAAAATTCGAATAGACATGATTTCACTAAATATTACTGAAGATTTTCCCCATCACCAAATCGTTATTTTAACACCTCGACACGTGTTTCGATCACCAAGTGATCATCTTCAAGAGGAAGATCAAAATAATCATACTTATAAAGCTTATTTATACCATAGATACCTATTCTAGGGATATTTGAAGTAACCTTTATTGTGAATACTCAAAACTACCGGCATCTCAAAGGCCGAAACAAAGAATACAGAGAAATGATGCCGCTGCGAACTAGTCCAGGTAGACTGAAGAATTGACGGTTCGTATTGGATAATTTTCACTAACCGAGTTTTATGATTGGCTGAAGACTAGGATTTAGATTTAAAATAATGAACAAACGTCAAGCAGTTATGACAAGCAGAAGAATAGTGGAATTGCTCAACAAATACTTGGAACAAATAACTAAATTTTCAATTTAGACAAAACTTGGTATGACACGACACAGTTACGAAAAAGTGGACTGATGGTTTCTAGAATGTGTACGTCTAAAATGCCTGCAAACAAAGGATCGCGACTAATCATTGTGCATTGCGGAGGAAGTGAAGGGTGGGAATCGAATTCTTTGAAATTATGTGGAAAAATATGAGGACCGCAATGTTGACTATCATAAGAACATGGAAGCTAATATTTTTGAGGAATGGCTTGATCATTTGATCCCAAATTTGGATGCGAATAGTGTAATAGTTCTTGACAACGCTTTCTACCATTCGCGACAGCTCATCAAGGTACCGAATAAAATTTTGAGGAAAGATGAAATACATAGTTCTTTAATGAATAACTATTTGTATTTTGAAGATAACTATACAAAAACCAACTACCTGAAGTTTTACAGACAAATATATATGGTTTCACAATTATTTCCCATAATGTTCCCACCGTCATTGAAGGTGAGTGTATCAAATTTGGGTAGATTATTGTTGTAGTTTGCGAGTGGAACAAAAATGTTTTGTTGAAATCAATTAGCAGTAGTCTGCTCTTGAGGTCTGTCCAATTTTTATCGCGATATAACACTGCAGTATCATCAGCAAAACAGACTATTCTTGGATCTACTTGTATTCTTCAAGTCAAGAATGATTACTTTGTTGTTATTTTTCAATTGTTAAAACTAATAGAACAAAATCATTCTAAAGCCAATCCGAAGTCGAAGTCATTTGCAGAATATCGATTCCAGAATGTCTATTTCAAAATTATGAGTTTGAAAAAAATTATGGAAGTCGGTGACGTCATATGACGATTGTCATATAGAAAAAAACTCATTTTGGCTTTCTGCTCATCTGGTAGTACATTACTTTCAAGAAGAATAAGACTCAACAAATGTCAGTTTGATAATGTTTTTGTTCAGGAAAGAAATAATTAATCTGAGAAAACTCTCGTATATTATACATAATTGAATTATTTCATCAATTTTCTCATCAAATATTCATAAGGAAACTGGGACCGCTGAACAACTCCTTCATTTTAATATTGAAGTGCGAATAATTTCAAAACGTCATCTGTGAATAATGCTTTCAGACACGATAAGGAACAAAGTCCATTTCAAAATATTCTGCTGACAAAACATTCCAACGGAGTTTGGGATGCATAGTNAATGAGTCTATAGTGCTTTCAGACACGAAAAGGAACAAAGTCCATTTCAAAATATTCTGCTGACAAAACATTCCAACGGAGTTTGGGATGCATAGTGTAACAAAAACACTTGATACTTGAAATAACTTTTATTGAAAGGCTATTCAGTTTGGGCGGAATGCCAGTTCCTTCATATTTTATATGTCAAGCAAGCGCACAACAGTTTCCTTCTGGAGTATTAAAATTAATTCACACAAATTATATGATTTCTGTTTGTGATAGATATAGAATTTTACAAGAGGAGTGAATGGTCATTCTAAACAGAAGTGATGATGATATTCGGAATATAGAAATGTTCGGTAATAGAATTATGCTTCAGTACAAGAACAATAATAGAAATGGGCCATATACAATATTTGTTATCGATGAAAATCTACCATTTATACTTTGTAATATCCAGCGAAAGCTATGTATGGTAATATATATTCTTACTTCGGAAAGAGACAGATTTCTCTAATTCAGATTTTTAAACGCCGGATCTGTCTCTTATACAATGTAAAATTATGGCCGACGGACCGAGAGTGTTTATATAAACACTATTCATTGGCGTGTTTTGAAAATATGCACGGTCAGATATGTTTGTCACGTAGCTCTGGATGTAAATATGGGCATATCAATATCCCAGCATTGAAAGTTTGTCGCACGTGGGCGACTGTTACAAAGAATAGTTTGAGAAACGGAGGAAGTGAAGCATCCCCGAGATCTTGCTGGCTTTTTGAAAGGCAGAGAAGACAGACTGTAATAAATAGAATTTCTGAGCAAATTTGTTAAAGAAATTGGCAATTTCAACGCGGTGGAACAGGTGCTATAAGAATGGCATGAAGCCTCAAATAGGGATTAATTTTTGTAAATAAGGCTGAAATGAACAAAGTAATCACTGTTAAAATCTTTTGCTGGACGAATATGTGTCTGCATGAATCACGAGGTTTAATCTTACACATGTACCTGATATTCCGTTTCTGCAGTAGGTACTAATACAGACAGAAGTGCTGATGAATTGCATACTCCCCAAAACGGTAATCCATAACGTAGGTGGGATTCAAACAGGGCGTAATACACCGTTCTGGCAATTTTGATTCCCAAATTTATTGAAGTTACTCTCACAGCATAACATCCCAAACAAATTTTACTTTCAAGTTGTTTGATATGTTCATAGAGAATACTCATGTGGAGAATTACCTTGATTGTACCGATTCCGTAGATGAGGCATTGTAAACTATTTCTGATAGTGAACAAATTCTGAATCTTGTTAGATTCAAGCTAGTAAATTGATTGTTCAACTCGAGCGAAGTTATGGAGGAACTTTTAAACATTTGGAATGGAGGAACATTTAAACACTTTTGACCCGAAATTCAACTACATATAAAGTAAAACATCTAAAGGAATAATTCTTTCAGGCCAGTCTCAACTCTGTACACTGAATATTGATGATTTGACACCTATCAGAAAACAACTAATAGCTTGGCTAATATCACGAAGGGCGTTGGATTATATCCGAGAGGTGGAAGTGCAGGATTCTTCGCTGAACTTATTCCTGCATATGCTGTTGGCGATACAACTGCCCCAATAGATTCTCAATTATTGGAATACATTTGCAGACCAGTGTCGAGCTATTTGACTACTCGACAGTGCAAGGTAGTGTCTATCATCAACATAAACTCGATGATATCCTATAAAATTGAAAATGACAGGTAGATGGAGCGATGACCTGTTGTTTGTTGTCCGCTTCAGCATAGTTCAAGGAATGATGCTTTGAAGAAATTCTATTTTCAATTATCGGAAATAATCCTGCACTGACATCTATCAAATATCATCCAACGCCCTTCATGATATTAGCCAGGAGGGGGTCAATTCATTAACCTACAGTGTAGGGAGTGGAGACTGGCCTGAAATAATTGTTCATTTAGATTATTTAATTTATAGACAGTCTGCAAGTATGTCCACCGACTATATATGAAGAGTTTTCTTTCCTTATACGAGGAATTGGGCAAACTATCAAGTATCCTATCAAGGATACAAATGCTATTATTATCATTATGATTCCAATGATATTTTTCCCATTGAATGATTGTTCAACATTTTTTTCTTCACAAATTGGACACAAAAACTAAACGAAGTTTAGTTTTTGTGTTTGTTTGCATTTGTTTTTCCGCACATTTTATTCATAGAATGACCACTGTTTCACTTCCTGGAAAGTACATGCCACCATATTTTTGAGTAGCCCAATTCCAAACCTGCTGCTGTTGAAAAATATGTTTCACTCTCCTATTATTTCCATGATCCTTGCTCCTGTTTTATTGTTTCTGCTCCATTGGAACTACCTAAAAGTATCCGTCGTAAAAGATTGCTCCACCAATTCAAAACATAAAACATCGGACATTTCTGAATTGTAGATGTGGAGCGAAAGGACTTTTTTTTTGTCTAGTGCAGTCACAACCGTGATATCCGAAATTGGTTTTTGATGCAATGAAAAGAGTTTCTGTACTCTGAAATACTTTCGTAGCTACAGTGAGACGTATATCCTTTCGACCCAGTAAAATCAGAAGTTATTCTCTCATTTCATGAGTGCCGTCTGAATGGA